GGTGACCACTGAGGGTTGAAGGTGTCCTCCCAAGTCTGTTGACTTCATCCCTCAATGCAGCAGTGTTAAGGGGGGAGTGGGCTAAGGAGAGGCGATGAGGTCACAGGGGTGACATTCTGGCCAGCACACACACTGAGGCAGCCCTGAGTGATAAGGAGCACATGCACTAGTCCACTCCCTGCTGACATGCCGTCACACAGCCACGGCTAAGCAGTATAACCAGAGGAAAGTGGAAGGCATCCTGCCCCACGTGGGACTGGTCTCAGGAATGCAGGGACAGCTGAGGACTAAGATTCAGATGTATTTAGCTCACCTTTGTCCCAGATCAGACATTAGGGAATCTGAATACATGGCCACTGTCCTGATGGTGCCAAGGAGCAACAACATGTTGCTAGGTGGATACATATGCTTTAGTAAAAACACGTTTCCAATAGTACTGGGATGAATGAATGATACGCCATGACACAGTGTCAGTGTGCCCCCCCCCCAAGGGCCTTGTGTCAGAAACTTTACCCTCAGTGCTACAGTGTATAGAAATAGGAACCAGAGGCTGGGTGGGCATGGTGGCGCATATCTTTAATCCCAGCATGTGGGAGGCAGAGGCAGGTGAATCTCATTGAGTTTGAGACCAGCCTGGTCTACATATTGAGTTCCAGGTCAGCCAGGGGTACTTAGTGAGACCCCATCTTTAAACAAAAATGAGGTAGGAGACCTAAATAAAAAGCCATGGATGTTTGTCTCTTTCAAATGAACTGTCGTTTTTGTAGGATGGGTTAGTAGGTCCTTAGAGAAGTCAGCTTGGCTGCCCCCCTCCCTCGACCACCCCCAGCCTCTCCTTGCCTTCTGCCATGGGATGACCTCACAGATGTCGTCCCTTAATTGAGGGCTTCCCAGCCTTCAGACCATGAACAAAGAACAGCCACTGATTACAGTTCACTCGGTGTTTGGTAACTCCGTTACAGGAGCAGCAAACGGACTAAGACATTCTCTTCATATCTCCGTCCCTGCCTCCCCTGAAGTCTGCATCTCTGCCAGCCTTAGAGCAAGGTAAAGATGCCCGTTACATCCAATATGTAATACTGAATCAGAGGGATTTATGTTGTTCATGCGTTTCTATGTGTAATACGCCATATGAGTGCAGGTGCTTGCAGAGGTCAGTGAGGACGTTGGATCCCCTGGAGCTAGAATTACAACTGGTTGTGAGCCACCTGCTGTCGGTACTGGGAACCAAGCTTGGGTCCTCTAGAAGAAAGGAGGCACTCTTAACCACTGCGCCATCTCTCCAGCTCCAACTGAAAGTAGTTAGCTAATCTAATTAGGTGAAAGTAACAAATTCCCAAAGATTAGTAAAGAAAAGCAACACCGTTGAGTTTGTAGTTGACAGAACACCCAAGCTATCTTCAAACAATTACAAAACGAACAAATCCAATGCAGCCGAAGAACACACCATGTGCAGAGATAAAAAACATTTAGGAGATACAACAGGAGGAAGAAACTTACAACAACAAGCCGGGTGAAATGCGAACACCCTGTACACGGACGGCTTCACCTGCGGATGTGATCTTGCGACAGAAAAACACCTGATTCCTATCACTGCATGAAGCGCTCAGCACAGAAGCTGAGATGGAAATGTAGCTGAGAAGAAAATGAAGTCAGTGACGCGTTTACCTTCCAAGCACAGGGACCCAAGTTTGATCCTTGGAACTCGCATTTTTTTTTTTAAACCAAGTGTGATGACTTGTGTCTTTAATCCCAATACTAGGGAGGCAGGGATGGGGCAGACAGATCCTTGGGGATCAATGACCAGACAACTCAGCTTAGCTGACAAGCTCCAGGCCTGTCTCAAGAACAGTCAGATGGAGGATTCCTGAGGAATAGCACCCAAGGTTGTCCTCTGGCTCACACAGGCACACACACATACACCTGCACTAAGGACATGTGCACATGTGTGAACACACCAATATGATCCAATTCCAAATATCACCAACACCGTGGAATAGCTAGAAATCCTTTGGAAAAAAGTGACAATATCGGGTGGTGGTGGCACATGCCTTTAATTCCAGCAATCAGCAGGCAGAAGCAGGAAGATCTCTGTGAGTTTGAGGCCAGCCTGGTCTACAGAGTGAGTTCCAGGACAGCCAGGATTCTTTCACAGAGAAACCCTGTCTCAAAAACAACAACAGCAAAAAATGTGACAGCAATTAACCCTATCAGACACAGAAACACGGAGACCATGCTCTGAGCACAATTTTTCTTCCCTTTAAATAAAGATACATCAAATAAACAAATACCTTAATTAATTGCCTAAAGATAAATACAGGCTCTACAAATGCCTATAACTCTAGCTTCAAGGGATTCAGCACCCTCTTTTGACCTCCACATCTGCACATCCACAAACAGACACATGCACACAACACACACACACACACACACATAAAATAAATCTTTAAAAAAGACTGGGGGGAGGAAATCAAAAGCCTGGAATAAAATTCAAAGGTCCACCCACTGAACACAAATCGAAGAAACTAGGGTAGAGCCACACGGTGGAGTAGTGTTTAGTCATGAAGAGCCACCAGAACGGTCTCTACAGACTGTGCAGAGCTGATTTTTAGGAGGAATTTTTATCACAATACAAAGGGGATATAACATACCCTAATATAATGTATAAGTGGCTTATTAGATAAAAAGAAATATGGACAGGTAATCTAGGAGCTGTTTAAAATGGTTACCTCTGATGAGGAACAGGGACAAAGACACAGGGACAGAACTGTGTCTCTAAATAACTTATAAATGTAGCTTTTGTATAATTGTGACCTTTGAGCCATAAAAATATTTTACGGTTTCAAAAATAAAATTGTATCACGAAGACCAAGGATGTGCAAAAACGGGCCGAATGCAACGAGAAACTCACAAAACCAACGCTGGATCAGACTGAAACAATGCTCAGAGCTCTGGGTGTACACCCAAAGACATCGGACACTTAATATAGATGTTTGGGGTTGGTACTGGTTTACACATTTAATTCTGGAACGATCTCTGTGTGTTCCAGGATGTACCAAATGATCAATGTGGTGATGATTTGAGAATCAGGTTCTCACGTGAGAAAAGAGACGGAAATATTCATTTCTAGCTGTAAGATGCTTTGGTTGGAGACACCTGACAACGTCTAGACTCAATAACACCAGGGTGACCATGGGCACACCTAACCTAGATGGTGGTTTCTAGGCCCCTCAATTCTCAGTTAAAAGAGCAAAGGGAACCGGCCGACTCTAGTTTTGGTCCAAGTATAAACGTGAGTGCTGGACCAGCACTCCAAGACACCTAAAGACAAGTGAGAAGGTCCCAGAGGCTGGGTCTAGTCCGAACACCCAGCATCTCATTGGACCTCTGCAACCCCGCCCACAGTCATGCGCCACCTGCTGGACCGGAGTGGGACAGCACTTGAAAAAAAGCCAGGCTCCTTTTCCACCTGAGTTCCTCAACTCACCGTCCTGACCTCTTCATGGCTCTGGTTTTCCCAGGACAAAGGCCTTGGAGCGGCTATACCACCAGGGGTGGATTGCACAGCCCGAAGCCTCTCATATATCTCCACAGCTCTGGTCCAGTCTGCGTTCTCTCCGTCTGGCTACCCCCGCAAACCTCTTCAACCACCATTCAGCCTTTCTGTCTACTATTCAAACTCCAGCTGTTTGCCGGCTTCCCACGGCGCCCAGAACATCCAAGCCCTAGTTCGTCTCTCCAAGGTATCTGGTTCCAAGTCCTTCCCATCCCTCACCTGTACCCGCCCCAGGGATGCTTCACCTGTTCAGCCCCTGTGCTGACTTTTCCATGGGTTCAACTCTTTATTTACAGCACAAGGGTCTCTAGCCAGGGACAGACACCTCTGGCCAGGCCCAGGCTCTGCCCCGCTACCTGTCCCTCTCCAGCCCATGACCCCATTTAATCGTCTTCCTAGATATGATCTTCTGAAACAGACCTCGGGTTTTCCCTTGGTAGCTAACTCGTGCCGTGCTATGCCCTCTCACACCAGCGTGGGCACAGGGTTCAGGGCAAGTGAGCCCGCAGCACACAGTAAGTGTCGGCGAACACAGCATCCTCAGGGCACCTGGCGAGGTGGCTGAAGTACTGGGGTAGGAGCCTGGAACCTCACCTCTGTCACTTCATGGCCCTGAGACAGGACCAGTGAATCTGTTTACTTGACTGTGAAGTGGAAACAGCTCTGGCCATCAGGTGAGACTCTCCAGGATCCCTTCTCGGACTCTCTTACCTGTCCTACAGCCACGGGAGGCAGTTGGGGCGCAGGGGACCTCACCACTTCACCACCTAAGCTGCTGGGTAGACAGTAGGGTTGAGAGCACCCACCTCTCTCCAGGGCTTCTCTGTCTGCAGCCTTAAGCCTGCCCCCTGCCATTGCCCGAGGTACACACCGGAGCACCAGCAGATGCCACCACCCTACAGCCCTTATGACTGGCACGCTGGTCTTCTGATTCCCAGAAGGCCAAGGACCTTCTCATCCTTCACATGCACATCGCGGGTCAACCTTGCTGTGCCCGTTTCATAGTTAGGGAAACTGAGGCCCATGTGGGTGGAGATTCTGGGCCCAGACTGGAATTTTCTGCCACTAGCAGGTGCAGGGAGGTGGTCTCCCAGCAGCGGCAGGGGGCGTGCCCTTCGCTGGGCCCCCGGCATCCAGCCGCTGCTGGGCATCTCCATCCCGGGACCTCACGGCCGTCCCGCGCCCTCGGGGGTTTAAGGGGGGGGGGGGGCTCCGTGCCGCTCGGCCCCGCGCCGTCCACCTAAACGCCACGCACGCCATGGCTCCAGCCACGCGCACTGTCACTCGCGCGCACCTTGCCCCGGGTCAGCCCTGCGCGTGCCCGCCCTCGGCCCGATCCGCCGTCCCCGCCCACACCGCTGCCTTGCTCCACGCGCGGACCTCGCCGCGCCCCGCACGCCCTTGTCCGTAGCACAGGTGTCCCGCGCGGCCGCGCATCACTCACCGGCTCCCGGCGCTCCGGCAGCCCGGGCCCGGCCCATCGGCAGCGCCCGCCGCGCCCGCCGCAGCCGCTGCACGGTGAACCGGGCGCTGCCCGCCCGCTCGCCCGCAGCCCGCCGCGATCCCGCGCGCAGCCCGCCCGTGCGCCTGGCCGGAGCCGTGCGGAGCCCCCTCGCGGCCGCACAGAGAAGCGCGGGTGGAGCCGCCCGAGTCCGCGCTAAGCAGCACTCCCCGCTGTCCTCCCAGTCCTCCGCCGGCTGCCTTGCCCATCAAGCCTCTTTTCTGCTCCCAGCCCTTGAGGTCGGGGTCAAATGTCCAGGCCTATACTTGGGAAACCCCAATAGGGTTCGCCTCCCGTGGGCTAAAACTGCCGCTGTGGTACCCTCCTGAGCCTGATCCCTGAGGCCTCTGCACTCAGACTGCCCCCTGGACAGACATCTTCACTTCACCAGCTTCTGGCATCCTGAAATCCAGGTCACACTTGCCTCAAAGCTGAGGCCTGGCCTCTCCTCTGGCTTCTCCTACAATGGCCACTGAACTTTGTAGTGAGGGACATTGCAGAGAATCAGTGATGTTTCATGGCTCTAGGGGCAGTGGGGTGCTAGAAAGATAAAGTGGGGGGTTGTGACAATTTTAAATGAAAAGAAGGAGCGTCCGCAGGTCTTTGTGACCTTCTGCCCTGACTCCATTCAGGTATGTCTCACTGTGGAGGTCAGGGCGTCTGTCTTCTGCTTCAGTAGGACCTGCCTGATGAACTGTGGCAGAAACCCAACCCAATCCACTCAAGCAGGGTTTATTGGCTAGTAAAACATAAAAAAATCAAACTATGTTGATTTCTGGAGTAGTTAAATCATGGACTTTGAATCTTTTGTGGGGAGTGATAGAAGCCAAGGTGGAAGGGAGCAGGGCTGAAGTAGCCGCTTGACTCGGGTGCGGAACTGGACCTTGTCCTTGGGTGTGACCCTAGGGACAAATTTAGGCCCAGCTCTGCCTGAAGCACTCCAGCAGAGGAGGTGACGGTGCATCCCCAGCTGTACTGGCCTTGGCTCCTAAGAAGCCCCCTGCTTTGGTTGTCCAGGCGGCATCTCCCATTTACAGGGTCTGGACCACAAGGTTCTCCCACAGGGTTGTCACTGAGAGGGGATGGGAGGGAAAGGCAGGCTTCAGGAGCCAGTGGAGCGGGGAATGAAGAGGACAGCTAAGGCTTTCAAACCCTAATCAGGTCCCAGGAATGGGAAGATCCAAGGAAGGGCTATTTCCAAGAGAAAACCCCCAGGGCTTGGTGGTCCAGGGCAGAACATGAGAGGAGTGGGGGCTTCCAGGTTGGTGGGGGAGTGTGGGGCAAGTTTCCCAGGGTGGGTGTTGGGTAGGTGGTGGTTGTGGGGTTTGCTGAGGAGCCCTTTCCCAGCAGGTGGTAAGATTGTGTGGTCAAGGGAGATCTTGGGGGATTCCTGGAGGTGGCTGGCCTAGTGGGTGCAGTATGGGTTTGGGTCCTTGGGGGTAAAAGGAGACCCCTGGGTTTCAGTGTCTGTGGAACCCAGACATGTCTTTCTGAGACTTAGCATAGATGCATCAGGTGACTCAGGAGAGAGGTTGACAACCTGCAAGGTGGCCAAGCAGAATCACCAAGAGAATGCAAGAACAGAGAGCATGGAACTGTAGGTTCCAGCGAAGGCATTTTATCAGCAGAGCCCATAAACTGTCCATTCTTGGGTCTCATGAAAGTCCTCCAAAGTTACTACAAGGGCAGAGCACTAGGAGAAAGTCACCCTACAGTCAGCCACAAGGAGGTGTGTGTGTGTGTGTGTGTGTGTGTGTGTGTGTGTGAGAGAGAGAGAGAGAGAGAGAGAGAGAGAGAGAGAGAGTCCCGTTGTTTATAAACCAAGATCCTGCCTTTCCATAAAGTCTGAGTGAAGATTGGGGATGTGGAGGAAGAGAGAATGCCAGTATGTGTAGTGTATATATGTACAGTATGGGCACGCACATGGTAAGTACATGCTCTATGTGATTCCTGGTGGTGTTCTATACATGCATGGAGAATATATGTATGTAATATGTATGCAGTATGTATATTACATGTATATTATGTGTATGGCTAGTGGTAGCATGTGTAGCATTGGACGTGTGTGTGTGTGTGTGTGTGTGTGTGTGTGTGTGTGAAAGAGAGAGAGAGAGAGAGAGAGAGGTGCATGTGGAGTTAGTGTGGGTCTGGGTGTAGGCGTGGTGGGTTCCCAGTACTATCATGAGGTTGGTCCTCAAATAAAGGATGGTATCACAGATGGGACTCCTGGCAATGGAACCTGAGATAGACTGAATAAGATGAAGGTTGCCGAGTTGGAAGGAGATCCCAGGGAGCCAGGGCTGGAGCAGGGAAGGGGGACAGCTCATAAAGGATGCATTGTTAGGATGGTGCCCATTACAGCCAGCTAAAGCCTGTCTTCCTGGAGACTCTGCAGGAGCTGTGCTGAATGCAGGCGGTGGAGATTACAGAGGGCACAAAACCTGCCTGCTCCAAAATACCTATTGGAACGCTCAGATTCTTGTGGGTCCTGCCTTAAGCCCAGAGGTCACTTCCCTCCTCTACCACACAAAGCCACAGGCAGCATCTTTTCCAGTTTGTGCATGTCTGAAGTTGACTTGCTGAGCCAGGGTCAGAGCAATCCTCCTTGGACCAAGGCTATCTGCATATCTATGGTTATAAGTAGACACGGAAGCACAGAGTCCTAAGGCCTCTGAGTCCTTTCGTACTGCAGAAGCCCTGTCTCTTTGAAGTGAGCAAGGCTGACCACCTCTTACTATGGTTTGACCAGGAAGTGTTCCCCACTAGGTCAGACCCCTGTCCCCAGCTGCTGGTGCTAGTTTGGAGGCTGTGGCATCTGAGGAGGTTGGACCCGGGTAGAGCCTGGGGCATTCCTTTGCAGGTTATTGTAGGACCCTAGTCTGGTCGTCGCCCTCTGTCTGCTGTGAGGTGAAGTTCCTCATCACACACTCTTGCCATGATGACGCTCTGTCCAAGGAGCGTCTAAGCCTTCAGAAACTACAAACTGAAAATAAGCGATCCCTTCCCTATTGTTGTTGTCGGGTACTTGTTCACGATAACCAGAACACTGACTACAAGAAGTGTTTGCTGTTGCTGGACCTGATAATGTGGTCTTTAGACCTTTGGAAGCAGTTATGGGAGACATTTGAAGACTTTGGAAAAGCAGGCTAGGGAAGTCCTGAAGTGTTGTAAAGAGAAGTCCTTTAGCATTGTATGCTCATCTTAATGGGCAATTCTGGTGGGAACTCCAGGAGATCAGAACGTCAGTGAGAATGCAGACAATGAAGACCGGGGCTTCAGCACAAACACAGTGCAGGGAACTGGACCATGGCTCATGTCAGTCTGCCAAAGAACTTCTCTACGCATCTCTACATCCAGAGATGGACTTTAAAGGCAACAAAACTGATCTCTCTCTCTCTCTCTCTCTCTCTCTCTCTTCCTCCTTCCCTCCCTCCTCTTTTCTTTTGGAGATGCTGAGGACTGAACCCAAGGCTTTGTGCATGCTAAGTAAGTACCCTGACACTGAAATGTACCCATAATCCTTTTTTCTCCCATTAAAAATTTTTTTTGAGATAGTTGCCCAGGCTGGCCTTGAACTTGCTTGGTAGCCCAGGAGGATCTTAAAGTCACAATCCTCCTGTCTCAGCTCCCTGAGTAGCTGTGGAACTAGGTCTGGCTTTCCAGAGGAAATGTGAAGGAAACATGCGTGCAAACTGTGGCATGGTTACTATAGCTGCTTTTAGCCAGACTTACAAGGAGAATCAGGAGTAAAACATGATCTGAAACTATGCAGCCTAGCCGGGCATGGTGGGGCACACTTTTAATGCCAGCACTCAAGAGATAGAGGCAGATGGATCACTGCAAGCTCTAGGCCAGCCTGGTCTGCAAAGTGAGTTCTAGGACAGCCAGAGATACATGGTGAGATCCTGTCTCAAAAAGGAAGGAAGAAAGGAAGGAAGGAAGGAAAATGTGAAGTCTGGCCACAGAAAGAAACGTATTTAAAGTTGACGACAAGGAGGGTGTTGTCGTTAAAGAGATTGGAGCCATTAAAAATAATCCAAGAACTTGCACCTTGAAGGTTATGGCAGAGGCTTCCCCTAAACTTCCACGTCTGTCTATTCACCTTTCTGTCTGTCTGTCTGTCTGTCTGTCTGTCATGAGGTGAACATGCTCCTGCCACTATAATGTTCTTCAAGGAACACAATACCATGAAACCATGAACGGAACCCTCAAAACCTTGCTCCCAAACAAACAACTATTCCCTAGAAGTTGTCTGGCTTTTATTTATTTCGGCAATTCTATCACATTGCGGAGAGTGACTAGTCCATGTCCATGTTTGTGTTCAAAACTAGAGCCACACCACGGTCACAGAAAGACTTGTGCCAATAATCTCAAACTGTAGATAGCCTTTGCTCATAAAGGCATTAAAAGGCACAGAAAAATATCAGGAAAGGAAGGGAGGGGCTTGGAGAGAGAGGAGGAAGAAGAGGAGGAGAAGGTTTCGTGTTTGGGTACTTTTGTGTGTGTTGTGTGAGGTTGGAGCACTGGGGCTTAAATTCTCCCTAATGAATTCTGAATTCTGAAGCTGTGGGGTGGCCTCTCCTCTCAGGCATTAAATCCTCTCATTTCCCAGGGCTTAGCAGCCCAGAGCTCTGAGGAAGAGACATGAAAATGCAACAGGCCACCCAGTCAAACCATAGAAGGCAGTGACCTGGCCCAGAAAAGCCGCTATCACTTCACCGGTGGGGATCCTTCCTACTTTCAAGTCTGGCAGAGCCTGAGAATTCATCTTAGGTCCTGACTGGAAGCCATTGCCCACCAGATAGAGAAACCCCAAGAGACTCTGGAGCTTTTGTAGAGGTGATGCAGCCAAGCTGAAGACTATGGACACAGGGTTGCCCAAAGAAGACTTATAAAGACCAAAGTGAGAAGACTAAGGTAGCTTCTCTTAACTAATGTCAGGAGCTGGAGACTTCCATCACACAAATCCACAGACCTGAACTTGCTCAATGCTTCTGAAGGAAGCAGGCACTTTCCAGAAGCCCTCCCCACTGA